CACATATATATAGAGAGAGAGAGAGAGAGAGAGAGAGAGAGAGAAGCTTATGCAAAAAATTAATACAGAGAGAAAACAAGCTTATTTTTCTTACCTCATTGGCAGATATTTTTCTCAATTTTTTTCAGAAAACAAGACTTAATATTTTGTTATTTCGCATCTCAGGTAAAAGACATTATTTTCCAAAAAAAAAAAAAAATCTAAATGAATTGAAGTTTACGCTAAAAGAAAATTGCCAATGGGGTAAGAAAAATAAAATTACTAGAAAGGGTAAACAAGTTTTAATTTTCCTATCCCATCGGCAAATATTTGTCTCATTTCAGCATAAACTTTAATTTTGATATTTTTTACAGAAAACAAGACTCACTTTCTTATGTGATTTTGCATCTCAGGTGAAAGATCCTGTTAAATCCTGTTTTCCGTCAAATTATCAAAATTAAGTGAAGTTTATGCTGAAAATGAGAAACATCTGCTAAAAAATAAATAGATAGATAGACTTGTTTTAATTTTTGTTTTAATTTTTTGCTTGTTCTTGTTTAATATTGATAAATTTTTTTATTAAATATTTATTTATTTTATATTTATATTGTATTTTATATTTATATTTATATTGTCGTTGTTGAATCAAATGTTGTTGAAACTCTTATGCACATGTACCAAAACCAAGCTGAGGAAAAAAAGGAGAGGAAAATGTGTTTGAAACATAATATTCTGAGGTTTACTCACAACTCCCAGTCTGTTGTTGGACAGGTTTAGGTTCTTGAGGGTACGGTTCTCCACCAGGGCCTGAGACAGCGCCATGGCTGTGGGTTCGGTCATGTTATTTCCCCCCAGATGAAGGTTCACCAGGGTCTTGTTCTTCACCAGAGCCTGAGCCAGAGCTTGACCCCCTTCATCTACGATGCGGTTGAGCCTCAGGTTGAGGGACCTCAGGGTGGTGTTTTTGGACAAAGCATGAGCCAGTGCTTGAGCTCCTGGACCTCTGATCTGGTTGTTGCAGATGACCAGTCTCTTCAGCTGACTGCGGTTCAGGAGTTTTCCGATGGCTCGGGCTCCGCGGTCGCCGATGTGATTATGTGAAAAGTCGAGCTCCTGTAGGGACGGGTGATCCAGCAGTTGGCTCACGAGCAGACAACACTTCTCATCGTCCACCTTACTGCGATGGATCCTGAAGACCTGGTGCAAAAAGTGGGAATTTTACAACCAAATGAAATAAAATAAAATAATTGAAAATACTGAATTGAAATAAAACTGAAAATAAAATCATTTTAAATGATTAGCAAACCCAGCACACTAACAATCTTTACAAAAAATATCAAAAAAAGTTTTACTAAAAACGTTTCGGTCTCATGACCTTCATCAGGCATATTATAGGAGAATATACCTGATGAAGGTCATGAGACCAAAACGTTGTTGTTAAAAAAAAATTTCTGTAATCTGTAAAGTATCTGACGCTCTATCGCAAAAGTATTGCGTTCCCCCCGAGAAACTTTACACTCTATTGCAAAAGTATTGAGAAACTTTACACTCTATCACAAAAGTATTGCGTTCCCCTGAGAAACTTTACACTTTCTCGCAAAAGTATTGCGTTCCCCTGAGAAACGTTACACTTTCTCGCAAAATGCATATTATAGGAGAATATACCTGATGAAGGTCATGAGACCAAAACGTTGTTGTTAAAAAAAAATTTCTGTAATCTGTAAAGTATCTGACGCTCTATCGCAAAAGTATTGCGTTCCACTGATAAACTTTACACTCTCTTGCAAAAGTATTGCGTTCCCCCGATAAACGTTACGCTCTATCGCAAAAGTATTGTGTTCCCCAAAGAAACTTTACACTCTATCGCAAAAGTATTGTGTTCCCCAAAGAAACTTTACACTCTATCGCAAAAGTATTGTGTTCCCTCCGAGAAATTTTACGCTCTATCGCAAAAGTATTGCGTTCCCCCCGAGAAACTTTACACTCTATTGCAAAAGTATTGAGAAACTTTACACTCTATCACAAAAGTATTGCGTTCCCCTGAGAAACTTTACACTTTCTCGCAAAAGTATTGCGTTCCCCTGAGAAACGTTACACTTTCTCGCAAAATTATTGTGTTCCCCCATGAGAAACTTTACGCTCTATTGCAAAAGTATTGTGTTCCCCCGATAAACTTTACGCTCTATCGCAAAAGTATTGCGTTCCCCCGATAAACTTTACACTCTCTTGCAAAAGTATTGCGTTCCACTGATAAACTTTACACTCTCTTGCAAAAGTATTGCGTTCCCCAGATAAACGTTACGCTCTATCGCAAAAGTATTGTGTTCCCCAAAGAAACTTTACACTCTATCGCAAAAGTATTGTGTTCCCTCCGAGAAATTTTACGCTCTATCACAAAAGTATTGTGTTCCCCCATGATAAATTTTACGCTCTATCGCAAAAGTATTGCGTTCCCCTGAGAAACTTTACGCTCTTTCGCAAAAGTATTGCGTTCCCCCGAGAAACTTTACACTCTATCGCAAAAGTATTGTGTTCCCCCATGAGAAATTTTACGCTCTATCGCAAAAGTATTGCGTTCCCCCGAGAAACTTTACACTCTATCGCAAAAGTATTAAGTTCCCCCGAGAAACTTTACACTCTATCGCAAAAGTATTGCATTGATTTGAGAAACTTCATGTTTTCTTTTGCAAGTGTTGCATTCTCTCAAGAAACTTTACACTCTCTTGCAAAAATATTCTGTTCCCCTGCATTGAAATATAATTTTTCCTCCCATCTCAATTTTTTTACTATTAACATTGTTCTTCTTGGAGCTTAACAGTCCTTGATCACTATACAGTGCGTGCATAATTGTTAGGCACGTTGATATTCTAATCATATTTTTTTTCCAAACACATTTGACTTATTCCAAACCACATCAATCTTAATAACTACTATTAATTTTGTATTTAATCATTCATAAGTGATATATAATTGTCCATGAAGGCTGGAAGTGAAAAAACGTCTTATATTCAGGTGTGCAGAATTATTAGGTATCAGATAAAATGAGCCAAAAAATAGATTTAACTCAGACTGAAAGTCAAAAATTATTAAATGTTCATGAAAAGGATGCAATACTAATGCAATCAAAGTTAAGGAATGACCATTGGACACCAAAATGCTCATTGGGTCAGCACGGTCAGAAAAAACAGGTGAGAAGAAAAGACATGTTAAGTGCACTCCGCTTCGTCCACGGTGAAAGCCGATCCGGCGATCCACAGCACGAAGTTGATGTATTTCCTCAGCGACCAGCACGGATCAGCTCCAGGCATGACGAAGCGATATCGTCCTCTTTTGGAAGGCCAAACAAAGTAGTTTCGCTTTCACAACGAAACACAGCATCTTCACGACATGGCGGCGGCAAAAATACTACAGCGAGAATAAAAGTTACGCCTTCTTTCTTATCGTGCACATTTGGGTGGCGTTATGCAAATCTTCCCAGATAGTGACGTATACATGTGGGGGCGTGTTAGAACGAGCTGTTTTAGGTAGGCGTGGCTGACTTTTATAAAGAATATCTCTTTGGATTTGAGACTTTAGTCTTTGCAACTTTACAGATCTTCTTTATGCACCAAGAGCTTGTAACACTTCAAAGAGAAAGGAAAACTTGAAATCGCATCATATGACCCCTTTAAAGACCAGCATCACATCCTGTCAAGAATTTATCTTGCAGAATCTGGCAGTAAGTTTTGGGAGTTAATTTTTAGTCCATCTCTGCAAGATAGACTTTTCAGAATAGGAAATGAACTAATTAAATAATTAAATAATCAAATCATTATCTGATACCTAATAATTCTGCACACCTGTATATAAGATGTTTTTCGCTTCCAGCCTTCATGGACAATTATATAACACTTATAAATGATTAAATACAAAATGAATAGCAGTTATTAAGGTTGATGTGGTTTGGAATTGGTCAAATGTGCTTGGAAAAAAATCTGATCAGAATATGATAAAAAATATATATATTATATATATGATAAATCAACAACCCTTGCTACGTGTACTGCGTTAAGCTAACTGAGACTTGTTATAGCACTTGAATATCATTGCTCTTTTGTTGATTTTGTTTGCTTCCATTGTCCTCATTTGTAAGTCGCTTTGGATAAAAGTGTCTGCTAAATGACTAAATGTAAATATAAATATCAACGTGCCTAATAATTATGCACGCACTATATGCTTTCTTTGTACAAAGAAAACAGGTGTGAACATTCTGCTAAATATCTCCTTTTGTGTTTCAGAGAAAAACCGACAACCACTAGTAATAATAACAATAACTGAACCTGTAAAGTCTTGCAGGAATGTAGGGCTTTTGCCAGGAATTCGCAGTCTCTGAAGGTGAACTCAAACAAATTCCACTCAAAGTTCATGCCGCATCCTTTCACTCCATACACCACGTTGAGCTCTTCCAGATTCGGCAGTTTGTCGAGCAGAATGCGGAAATCGAAGTGATCCATGGAGGGTCCTTCACTGCCCGTATCACTGGCACAATCTGAACGGTCATCCTCGTCATACCTGGGTGACTCTTTGATGGGTGGCAGCAGCTGAGAGACTTTCAGTCGCTTTACATAGTTTCGACACAGTGGCACCGCATCCAGGACTGTCTTGGTGTCGGTTGCATCCGGGATGAAGAATTCAATGATGTTCTCTAGGTGACGCTCGAAGAACATGCGTTTCCAGCTGTTGTCGTATGTGGAGACGTCACTGACAGCCCAGCGACCTTCACAGCAGCGTTTCCAGTAGCTCTCATCACTGATGAGGTTTGCAGTGATGGTCAAGGGAAGAGATGTTGGTAGCCGCTGGAGCACATACGCTTTGTAGTTGGGCGTAAGTTCATCCAGAATGGGTTTCTCTGCAAAATAGTATAGTACAGGCTTTAAAGGAACACTCCACTATTCCAAATCCCCTAGAGTTAAACAGTTGAGTTTTATCGTTGTCGAATCCATTCAGCCGATCTCTGGGTCTGGCGGTAGCACTTTTAGCTGTAGCTTAGCATAGATCATTGAATCTGATTAGACCGTTAGCATCTCGCACAAAAATGACCAAAGGGTTTCGATATTTTTCCTGTTTAAAACTTGACTCTTCTGTAGTTGCATCGTGTACTAAGACCGACGGAAAATAAAAAGTTGCGATTTTCTAGGCCGATATGGCTAGGAACTATACTCTCATTCCGGTGTAATAATCAAGGAACTTTGCTGCCGTACCACGGGTGCAGCAGGCGCAATGATATTTACGCAGTGCCTGAAAATAGGCTAACTTCCGTCAACATAACCAATGTGACCACCTGCTTGCACAGGGAGCGTGCTGGGGACTATTTTTCGGCCTAGAAAATCGCAACTTTTAATTTTCCGTTGGTCTTAGTACACGATGTAACTACAGAAGAGTCAAGTTTTAAATAGGAAAAAACTCATTGGTAATTTTTGAGCGAGATGCTAATGGTCTAATCAGATTCAATGATCTATGCTAAGCTACAGCTAAAAGTGCTACCGCTAGACCCAGAGATCGGCTGAATGGATTCGAAAATGGTCAAACTCAACTGATTAACTCTAGGGGAGTTGGAAAATGAGCCTATTTTCAAAAATAGTGGAGTGTTCCTTTAATACAGGCTTTCATGCAAACTGAGAACATCTTTTCATTAAAGCAAGACACTACAGGCAAAAACATGTTTTTTTTTTTCATGCACTGGTCAATTTTTACATTTTATGCTATTTGGCTTTTCATAACATGTTTCAGCATCCAAAATACACCTACAAGTCTTTACTTTATTGCACTTTATCTGTCTGCGTTTATAAATTTCAATATCTTTTATAGGCCATTTTCTCAAAATGAGATTTCTCCTTGACTTCAGCAACACTTACAATGAACCATATTTTATTTTGTCAAGATTATAAATGTTTTTATTCTAAAAGACCATAATTGGTCAATTAGATGTTCCACAAACCGGTACAAATTTACTTTTGTGCCTGAAGCAATACGTTTATGTAATAAATCTAGTTGATTTAGATTATTTAATTAATGAAATTTTTTATTTTATTTTATTTGTTTCACCCTTTTTATGTATTTGGTGTATTTTAAATATATGTATGTGAGTGTTAAGTGTTGTAAATGTGAAGCACCACGAAAGTCTGAATTAATCGCCCCAAGGGGATTAATAAAGCTCTAAACTGAACTGAAACTGATAATACATTTTGTAATATGACACCCCCGCTAAGGGGGAGGAGACCACTAAAAGATTTTGAAATACCATTTCTATGGTAACGCAATGTCTGATTTCAAAATTGTTTTCACAGGATAAATTTTGAGATTTTAAGCTTTCAAATGGTATATAATTTATGATGATTACTAAAACATGAGATAGGGAAAAAGGCAACGAAATAAAGACTTTTTGAGACAAAGGTCAGAACTCCTATTATGATGTAGATTTGTCATAGACTCTTGGTGCACTCTTGTCATAAATGAATCTATTGCTGTTCCTACATAATTACTAACAAAATAAAACGGTAAAATATCTATTTAGGAGTCTTAGACCTTTCCAATGATATATAGTTTGTCATGATTATATTAGGATTTAATTGTACTAAAGTGAAGTAAACTTAGGCGTCCCGTATACGGGACGGTGACAGTTAAAGTCGTGTAAAGTCATTATTAAATGTGTGTTCTGAGTTTATCACACCACAGAAAAATCTGTTATAAGCCACCCAGCCAAATTTGAATGCTAAAAAAAAAACGCCAAGTGGATAAAATAAGCTATCAAAATCTTGAAAAAATATTTTTTGCTCTCAGACTCTGGGGGCGTGTCCGCTGGCGGCGCTGAAACCACGCCCACTCGCGGAAAAGCTGCCGCCTCTCTCTCAACTGTCTTCCTCTGCAGATTATTTAAATGAGGAGACCGAGCTGTTTTGTAAATTATTGCAACCAGGTATTATGCATTTGCGTGAGGAAGGCATAGCTAGCTAGCAACCTCTAGACTGTAGTAACGAATGGCAGTAACTTGATAATTACTAACAAAATAAAACGGTAAAATATCTATTTAGGAGTCTTAGACCTTTCCAATGATATATAGTTTGTCATGATTATATTAGGATTTAATTGTACTAAAGTGAAGTAAACTTAGGCGTCCCGTATACGGGACGGTGACAGTTAAAGTCGTGTAAAGTCATTATTAAATGTGTGTTCTGAGTTTATCACACCACAGAAAAATCTGTTATAAGCCACCCAGCCAAATTTGAATGCTAAAAAAAAAACGCCAAGTGGATAAAATAAGCTATCAAAATCTTGAAAAAATATTTTTCAAGATTTTGCTCTCAGACTCTGGGGGCGTGTCCGCTGGCGGCGCTGAAACCACGCCCACTCGCGGAAAAGCTGCCGCCTCTCTCTCAACTGTCTTCCTCTGCAGATTATTTAAATGAGGAGACCGAGCTGTTTTGTAAATCATTGCAACCAGGTATTATGCATTTGCGTGAGGAAGGCATAGCTAGCTAGCAACCTCTAGGCTGTAGTAACGAATGGCAGTAACTTGCCATTGAGCGGGCAAACCACTGCGCTGCATTTATTAGGTGTTCGTCTTGAAGCAGGACTGTGCAGAACGATCAGTGTATGACACAAGAGCGATTCGAAAGCATGAGGAGCCATCTGCTCTCTATAGCTCTGTACTTTGATGTCACACACCGATCGATCTGCGCAGTGCTGCTTCAAGTCGAACACACGTCTTATAGTGTTAGTGTTAGGGGAGGGGCCATGCTCGGTGGCTCCATTGCGTCATCGAGCCACCGTTTTAGCCCCGCCCAAAAATATCCTGAACACAGAATTGGTGAAAAACTGTTTAACGGTTTAACTCCACAATTCAGTACTACATACTTCAGAGTCGCTGTAATGTGTTTCTACAATAGATTTCTAACATTTATAATGTGTTTAGAAACAATTCTCAGAATTCTCTTTACACGGACTTTAAGGGGTTAATATTATTTATGAAGTGATAAAATCAGAAATCAATCTAAAATCCCCTCTAAACGTTTTACTCTAATATGTCAAGAAAATGAAAAAATAATTTTGAACCTGAAAGACCTCAGTTCTGGAAATATAAGCAAATTAGTGCATATTTAATTAGATAATGCCTCAGTTGCATATTTAGACATTACATTTAGGAAAACTTGTAATACAAAAACTTTTTGCAATTCTTAGTGTAACTTAATCAGTCAACTATAGGAAAGTATACTGATACCTATTAGTCCATTTTTACCATATTCATCTGTGTTGTCTTGCCTAAATAACATCTGCATAATTTCGATATATACAGTATATATATATTTTTTTTATTTAACCTTTATTTAACCATGCAAGTCAATTAAGAACAAGTTCTTATTTTCAATAAGAGAGGAATTAATATCTGAGAAACATACAAACATATATTACAATACATAAAGCACATAGAAAAAAAAAAGAAAGAATGGGATCTCAGTTACAACATTTACAGGTTGAGGTCAGAGCGCTTACTATTAATTTTTTAATGCACATACTGGAATATTTGACTCTAGTTTTCAATAGCTTTTGTAGCACATTCCAATCATTTGGGGCAGCAAATTCAAAAGCGTAACAACCATAAGTAATTTTCTTTCTAGGGATAGTCAAGGAAATAGATGATATAGTTGTATATGTATTAAAACAAGGTTTCCGCAAAAATAAATAAATAAATAATATATATATATATACAGTTTTGGGGGTAACGCATTACAAGTAACGCGAGTTACGTAATCAGATTACTTTTGTCAAGTAACTAGTAAAGTAACACATTACTTTTTTAATTTACAAGAAAATATCTGAGTTACTTTTTCAAAAAAGTAACGCCAGTTACTTTGTTTTCCCATGTATTGACTGACAGCTCTCCTATGTTGGGAGAAATCGGAAATACAGAGGCGTTGTGTGCGCCGTGTGAACATGATGTTACTGTAGTTCTAGACTAAAAGTGAATGTGCATTAATCATCAAAATCATCCAAATGAATTAAAACAGTGAATTGCTGCTGACCTTTGATGATCCAGTTCAACCGTACTAATAAGCAAACATGACTTTAGATGAACTAACAATTGTGCTTCACTGTTTTTTTATTGCTGAAGAGTGTTTCTTCTCCTGCGTTCTACTGTACAGACGTGAATTTACTCTTCCTTCAGCCTGAGGTTTATTCATTACACTTTTTGGTGTGAAAGGGCTTTTAGATTTGCTATAAATAGAGCCCTGATCATATTTAAAAAGTAACGCGAAAGTAACGTAAAAGTAATGTAACGCATTACTTTCCATAAGTAACTAAGTAACGTAATTAGTTACTTTTTTAGGGAGTAACGCAATATTGTAATGCATTACTTTTAAAAGTAACTTTCCCCAACACTGTATATACTTATACTTACTTAAATGCCATTGTTTACCTCTAAAATGTTTTATAATATGCTGTAGACAGAGTGTTGTTAGCAGAGGAACCAGCTCCAGCGACCACTCGGGATCCTCCGCGATGATGCTGCGCATTTTCCGCCCGTTAGCGGCGGCGTTTACCGGCCTCATGCTCCCGGTTCTCCGTGAAGACTGACTCCGAGACATGCAGCTAAAGCTAGCAAAAATACAAGAATCAGGAACAATAAATAGCTATAACTCCGTCATTACTGCTAGAGGAGGTCAACAACTTTTCTTGACGGACGTAGTCTTTCCGTTAAAAAGACTCGTTTTCAACATATTAACTCAGTTCATATCTTATAAACACATTAAGCTTATTAAATAGATTCAAAACGTTGGCTACTCACTTTCAGCGTCTCCGTGAAGTTTGTTGTTGTCATGGTAACAGAGACGTGCCGTGCGTCACTCGCTGCTGATCACGCGCTGAATGTGTGACACACAGCCTCACCCATGATTACAATAAAGCATAATTAACACCATCACACCTTGCAAATGCACAGAAGAACGAGGAATGTCAGGCTGAAAACTGATATTAAATAAAGGCAAAACTTTATCTTTAAGGCTATCTTTACGTATATTTCATAAAATATGATTCAGGTTTCGTGTTTTGACATGAAATAAATAAAAAATAATAAATATTTAGCTTGAAATGTCATTAAATGTGACAGATGACATTAATGATGTGACGATGCATGTACCTTAATTCGTTTCTGCATCAGGCCTCACACTAAATAACATTTCACATGTGTTTTGCATTGCACACAAGCCCATAAACTCACTTCAAACACATGCAAATCACTGTGAATGAGGGCAGCTGAGGATTTCCCTTGTGTAATGCATATCTGGGGCAGGTCATGCAAATCAAAATATTTATGTCAAAAATATAGGCTATATATACAGTATATTTATTTCATTAATATGATTTCAGCGAAATAGTGTGAATAGCAGAAGGGCACCATTGCATATTTAAGAAAGACAATTATCTTTACAACAATGCATTGCATTATAAACATATGATTATTTCAAAACTCTGAGCATGGGAACCCCTCTGAGAACGTTCCCTGTTAGATGTGTATATTCAGAGTGATGCACAATGTTATCCGAGGCATATAGCTCATCTGAAGACTGTCTAGACAAGCCAATGCATAATCAGCGTTAACCTCCAAACACTCATTACGCTCATGCCAACCTCAGCATGAACAACTAGACACAGCCTGAAGAGTCTCCAGACCTCAGCAGCAGTTTTGAGACGTGCTGCAGGACGCCGAGTGTTTGACTGACACCCCAAAAGTGCTGAGATTTCAGGCCTCTTCAATACTCGTCCATTTTGCCCTAAAAGCTAATGTCTCGCTTCATCAGACACCTCGTTTCGAGAGCGGCAGCAGCCAGAGAAACACGTCAGCCTTTTTATACCACACAAATAAAGCCAAGAAAGGTCCATATTTTAGATTATCATTCAAACAAACACATAACTCTATGCAACCACCAAAATATCCAAGCATGGCTGCAAACTCACAGAACAAAAATCCAATTAAAGTGCAACAAAATCAAGTTTTAAATGATCACCGATCCAGCAAAAGTAATTGAAACAATAAACACCTCAATTTGGAAGCTTGTTACTGCCACAAGATTTAAAATAAAAATTAATTAAAAGTTAATTAATTATGACAATTTGGACTGTTTTGCCTTGAGTTTCTCACGCTTCTGACTTTTTCCTTCCACTTCAGTATTGCAAGATATAAACTCACAATTGCAAAGAAAAAAGAATTGCGTGATATAAATTCACAATTCTAAGAAAATTTGTTATTATAAGATATAAACTCACAATTGCAAAGTCAGAATTGCAAGACAAGCACGAAACGTGACATAAACTTACTTGCAAGTTATAAACTCACAATCCTGAAAAAAAGTCAATTTTATATTAAACTCGGAATTGCGAGATATAAACTCAGTTGCGAGACATAAATTCGCAACTATAAGAAAAGTCATTATCGTGAGACAAACTCGCAGTTGTGAGAAAAAAGTCAGAATTGCAAGATATAAACTCAGAATTGTGAGATATAAACTCAATTACGAGATACAAAATCAAAATTGCGAGATATAAATTCTAAGAATTCTCGGAATTCTAAGAAGTCATTATTGTGAGTTATAAACTTAGAATTGTGAGATAAACTCAAAATGGGGAGACAAATTCACAATTATAAGAAAAGTTGTTATTGTGAGATATAAACTCGTAATTGTGAGATATAAACAATAAGGAGATACAAAATCAAAATTGCGAGATATAAATTCTAAGAATTCTCGGAATTCTAAGAAGTCATTATTGTGAGTTATAAACTTAGAATTGTGAGATAAACTCAAAATGGGGAGACAAATTCACAATTATAAGAAAAGTTGTTATTGTGAGATATAAACTCGTAATTGTGAGATATAAACAATAAGGAGATACAAAATCAAAATTGCGAGATATAAATTCTAAGAATTCTCGGAATTCTAAGAAGTCATTATTGTGAGTTATAAACTTAGAATTGTGAGATAAACTCAAAATGGGGAGACAAATTCACAATTATAAGAAAAGTTGTTATTGTGAGATATAAACTCGTAATTGTGAGATATAAACAATAAGGAGATACAAAATCAAAATTGCGAGATATAAATTCTAAGAATTCTCGGAATTCTAAGAAGTCATTATTGTGAGTTATAAACTTAGAATTGTGAGATAAACTCAAAATGGGGAGACAAATTCACAATTATAAGAAAAGTTGTTATTGTGAGATATAAACTCGTAATTGTGAGATATAAACAATAAGGAGATACAAAATCAAAATTGCGAGATATAAATTCTAAGAATTCTCGGAATTCTAAGAAGTCATTATTGTGAGTTATAAACTTAGAATTGTGAGATAAACTCAAAATGGGGAGACAAATTCACAATTATAAGAAAAGTTGTTATTGTGAGATATAAACTCGTAATTGTGAGATATAAACAATAAGGAGATACAAAATCAAAATTGCGAGATATAAATTCTAAGAATTCTCGGAATTCTAAGAAGTCATTATTGTGAGTTATAAACTTAGAATTGTGAGATAAACTCAAAATGGGGAGACAAATTCACAATTATAAGAAAAGTTGTTATTGTGAGATATAAACTCGTAATTGTGAGATATAAACAATAAGGAGATACAAAATCAAAATTGCGAGATATAAATTCGCAATTCTAAGAAAAGTCATTATTGTGAGGTATAAACTCAGAATTGTGAGAGAAACTCAAAATGGTGAGCTATAAATTCGCAATTCTAAGACAAGTCGTGACATAACCTTGCAATTGCAAGACAAAAGTCAGAATTGCAAGATGTAAATTAATTTAATGAGGTATAAACTCGCAATTCTGAGAAAAAAGCCAGAATTGCGAAATATAAACTCAAAATTGTGAAATATAAACTTGCAACTACAATAAACTCAGAATTACTTGAATTCGCAATTCTGAGAAGAAAAGTTCTTATTATGAGATAAAAAGTCGCAATTACGAGATACAAAATCAAAATTGCGAGATATAAATTCTAAGAATTCTCGGAATTCTAAGAAGTCATTATTGTGAGTTATAAACTTAGAATTGCAAGATAAACTCAAAATGGTGAGACAAATTCACAATTCTAAGAAAAGTCATTATTGTGAGATATAACCTTGCAATTGCGAGAAAAAAGTCAGAATTGCAAGATATAAACTCAGAATTGTGAAATATAGCAACTACAATAAAGTCAGAATTGCAAGATATAAACTCAGAATTTCTTGAATTCGCAATTCTGAGAAGAAAAGTTCTTATTAAAAAATACATTACTTTTAAAAGCAACTTTCCCTAACACTGTTTTTTTTTTTTTAGCCTATTCACTTGTGTCTTGCCTTAAAGCATGCAGGAGGAAATTATAAACACTTACAGAAACAATCTGGAGATTAAATGCAACCGGCTATCTTCATGCTGTTGCATTTCAAACTGAAGAAAAGTAAAGGTAAAAAACAAACAATGAAAGTCCAGATTATGATTCCAAATACATTCAACAGAGATATACAGGCCCGTACTGATCAACATTTAATACCACACTGCTGCCCTCTTGTGTCAGATACTGGAAATGACCAATTGTTCCCATTACAATCAACAATCAATACAGCAATACATTATAATGGGAACGACATAGCTCTGTCACATCATTTGCTTTCAGTGTGTGTTTCACGTAAGCTTTTTCATACTTTCTGAGCTGATTTTGGGAGAAATTCTGTGGGATTTAAATGAGATAAAATGTGCTACATTCTGATTGGTAGATGCAACATTTTCAAATTGCCTACAAAAATGTCTTTCTGTGCAGTTGTGAAGTTCTGTACAAATTGAATTAAAACAACATCCAAATGGCTGAGTGAAAAATAACTATAAAGTTTATTTTAACAAGAAAAGCCCAAACAAGTCATACAGTGAGCTACAAACATAAAAATAGCATGGCTAAACGAAACCAAACAAATGAGCTGTGTCGGTGTTCTTCACATGTGTTTGTCAGAGATAATCGTCCTCATCAGTCCAGGACGAGTCGTCATCGATGGCATAATGAACCAGAGAGTCGTTAGACTCGGAGGAGTCCAGGAACACAGAACTGTCGCTCTGAAAGAACGTGTCGCTGCTGCTGCTGCTGCTGTCGTCATTTATTACCACGACTGCTGGAGAGACGCTTGCTTTCAGACCTGAGAACAGTTTATATTTTGTGTTTCAGACAGGACTTTATACTTTTAAAGCACCTTTTGTACGTAGAGGACTTGTTTTTAACCACACACCTGATCTTGACAGTTTGAGCGGAACAGCTGTTGGTTACATTGTTGATTTAAAGCAAGACACTACAGGCAAAAACTTGTTTTTATGCACTGCTCAATTTGGACAATTTGGTCTATTTGGCTTTTCATAGCATGCCGTTTCCGATTAGGGTAAAAAAAATCATCCAAAATACACATTTAATTTGGAGAAATGTAGCATTCCATCGCTTGCTCAGCAATGGATGCTCTGCAGTGAATGGGTGCCGTCAGAATGAGAGTCCAAACAGCTGATAAAAACATCACAATAATCCACTTATAATATTTTGTTCTTCAAACAGTTGCTTCCAGCCAAAATACGAGTCCATAATGCATAATAAAGCTTCCTCCAGTGAAAAAGTGGTCTGGTCAGAATCAGGAGAGAGATCTGCAGATCAAGCAACGATTACAAGCCGAAACAGCTCTAAACAAATATGTGGTTGGATTTTGATGTGAGAGACAACAGGAGATGGGCATTTTCACTAGAGGAAGCGTTATTATTGATTATGGACTCATATTTGGGCTGGAAGCAATAGTTTGAACTTAAAAAAAAACTCCTTAATGCTGGATTTGTTTCAGCTGTTGTCT